TCTTTAAAAAAAAAAAGAATCCGCCTGCCAATTCAGGGGACACGGGTTCGATCTCTGGTTGGGGAAGATCCCACATGCCTCAGAGCAACTAAGCCACAACTACTGAAGCCCGCGCGCCAAGAGCCTGTGCTCCGCAACAAGAGAAGCCACCGCAATGAGAAGCCCACATACCACAACCAAGAGTAGCCGCCGCTCGACGCAACTAGAGAAAGCCCATGTGCAGCAATGAAGACCCAAGGCAGCCAAAAATTAATTAATTAATTAATTAAAAAAAAAAACAGTTTCTCAAGTATGTACTCCAGCAAAATGAGGGCATAAACCAAAAAAGAGGAAGACAAACAAACAGCACTCCTAGCCGTGGAAAGAGGTAAAGAGAAGCCCTAAGGATGACAGCTCTGTTGTAGAGCTAGAGAGCAACAAGAATGGAACAGAAAGATGAGGGAATCTGGACATAAAAGCTTAAGGAAAGGAGACCTGACAGAACCCAGGGGATTGAGAGCCTGGAAAATTTTGAGATCATAATAAAGGCAAATAGTATATAAACATATAAAAAGGCAATTAGAAATAATAGGAAAAAATGTTTAAGAAAGTCAAGATCCAAAGATGAAGAAGCTAAAAGGTAACACAAATTTTAACAACTGATGAAGAGTGAAAAGAAAGAATCCCTATGACTTTGGGGCTGGATATATCCTCCTTTGAGTGTCCCAGGAGTCCTGACACCAGACACAATGTGCAAGTCTAAGATCCAATGTTAATACACAAGGCAATAAATTATATTAAATGTTGCCTCCAGGTTTTCAACTTCAAGAATAATTTATGAATAAAAAAGTCAATTTGGGGACAAAGCACAAAACTTTTATTGGTTATGGGTTCAGAGCTTTGGAATATTAAGGTGTCACAAACAAAAAGCAAATTGTGGAACTGATAGCCACCCAAACCTCCTTGACTTACAAAATGGGGAATCAGAAATACCGTAAAGGGGCTTCCCTGGTGGCTCAGTGGTTAAGAATCCACCTGTCAGTGCAGGGGACATGGGTTTGAGCCCTGGTCTGGGAAGATCCCAAACACGGCGGAGCAACTAAGCCCGTGCGCCACCACTACTGAGCCTGCATGCCTAGAGCCCGTGCTCCGCAACGAGAGAAGCCACCGCAGTAAGAAGCCTGTACACTGCAACAAAGAGTAGCTCCCCACTCGTGGCAACTAGAGAAAGCCCATAAGCAGTAACAAAGACCCAATGCAGGCAAAAATAAATAAATAAATTTATTTTTAAAAATAAAATAAAAATTAAAAATTGAAAGGTTCCCTCTGTGAGCCTTGAGAAGGTGAAGGAAACCATTGTGTTTCAACAAAACTCCTTTTATACTATTGGGTTTGGTACCAACTGCACAGATCACTTTGACAAAAATAATTTTCTACCACACATTTCAGAAAAGGCAAAACACTAAAATTATTACTAAAAATTGAGAGTGCCAGCAAATGTTATAGTTGGAATTATATTTAAGAGTGGGGATAATTTTTCTTACAGAATATGTTATTCAAATAAAAATTTTCTACAAGAATGGAAAGTTCTACTGAATCCAGATCACTTTCTTCTTTATAATTCTCTATTTTCTGGTCTATGTACACCAAACATGTATTCCATTTATAACCAGAAATTTAAAAAAAATTTTAATGTGATCAGTGTTCAAAGTCAGTGTGCCAGTTGCTAAGAGCCCAACACCTACACACCCCAGCCTGATTTATGAGCTGTAGAGAACAGCAGGAACAATGCAGTCTTCAGAGGCCATGCGTTTTAACATTCTATCGTCCCCATTGTTAAATGCTACCCTAACGCCACAGGGAAGGTGTGAATGCTCAGAAAAGGTGCCCTGTAACAGGTACCAGAAAGTGATTACACCATATACCTAGGGACAATCTTGCCTGAGAAAATGACAAAAAGGTTTTTTAAAGCCTCTGAGGTGTCCAGGCTTTGTATCCCATAAAGCTCATTGTTCAGCTGGGGAAGTGACATGAGGATAAAGGTGGGAGTGGGGAAAACGGAAAACTGCTCCCTAAGTAGATGACAACAGATTAGAGGGCCAGTCCGGGGTCCACCATTAAATAACCACAAATGGCATTCCCCAAGTCACGTCAATACCCTTCCCTGGCCTCAGTTTTCTAACCTTCCTCCCAAGAAAATGACCTTGTCAATTATAAAATACTTTGATTTCTGATTTATAAAGCCCTCAACTCTTGACAAAATCAAGAATAGAATTCTACTGCTAGCCCCATTTCACAGATGTTGGGACAAAGTCATGGGTAGATTTTATGAAAATTAATTCAGGGTTAGTTGCCACCATTTTCCAAGCTTCTACTTAAATCCACCAAAATACATTGCTTTTTGAGGCTGTGTTACAAAGTGTGGCATATAACATTTATCTTATTCCAACTTTAAACAAAGCTCCAAAAGAAATTCAGAGAACTCCTGGCAGATTGCTTATCTCAAAAAACAAAAGTCACAGTGACTTAATTTCTTAAATTCCCTTAGCTACTTGGCCAAAAAATTTCCAGGGATAGCATCAGATCAAGCCTACAGGCCTACTGCTTACACATTTTTCCAGTTGTTGTCTTTATTGACTATCCAAAGTGAAATGAAGATGCACCCAGCTTTGGACTGAGGAGTGACTTTTAGTTGGGGGGGTGAGGCAAATGGAGCAGATCAACTTTCTCTAAACCCAAGGCTTACTTCCATTTTTAACCTAGTTTCACAAACATATTTTAGAGCTACTCCAATCATTCAAAGCCTGTATAAAAGGGAACTCTTTTGTTTTCTTTCTGTTTAGGGATCTTTTCCCCCTAGCTTTCCTCAGATATTAGGCAAGCCCAGCTCTTATTTCATATTTTTAACAACCAGCTATACCAATCATATACATATTTGTGTGTGTATATTTATAAACACAGTTCAAAAATCATTTGGGACCAAAAATAGCCTCCAAAATTATTAGAAATTATTGGGTCTTTTTCTACTTGTAGGTACTACTAAGTCCATTTCTATAAAAGTCACAGTGAGATATTCAAAACTGCATTTACCTGAGTAAAGCAATACAAGATGCTACTTTGGATCTTTACATAGTATACAAACTAATGCCATCCTTTGGAACAATATCATCACACTGAGAAAAATGTCATGCTATTACATCACATACTTGAATTCCACCAACCATTTAGAAATCAAAGCACTGGACTTCCGCACTGGACTTCCCTGGTGGCGCAGTGGTTAAGAATCCTCCTGCCAATGCAGGGGACACAGGTTCCGTCCCTGGTCTGGGAAGATCCCACATGCCGCAGAGCAACTAAGCCCGTGAGCCACAACTACTGAGCCTATGTGCTACAACTACTGAAGCCCGCGCACCTAGAGCCCGTGCTCCCGCAACAAAGACAAGGCACTGCAACGAGAAGCCCGCGCACCACAACGAAGAGTAGACCCAGCTCGCCGCAACTAGAGAAAAGCCTGTGCGCAGCAACGAAGACCCAACGCAGCCGAAAATAAATAATTTTAAAAAAAAAAAGAAAAGCACTGAGTACGTGTCCACACTGTCACTCAAAACCCAGGAGAAGACCAGTTGTGGACTGAAATGACCATCAAGTCTGTTTTAGGACAAGGGCTTCTCAGCAATGCATCAACCCCAGCAAAGAATTAAAGCACTCCTCCTTGCACAAGACATCAACAGCTTTGGGATGGGAAAGGAATAATTGGCCACCAGTATGAGTCAAAGGGTTGGCTATTATAAGCCTCATCCATCCTTGTGTATTTGTTATTAGGGTCCTCTCACAGCAATCGAAGTATCAAATATTAGTGCCAAAGAAAGGGTTGATTATCTTTTTAAAATAGCACATAACATCTTAACGTCTAAACTAAAGCTACTCAATCAAAGAAATATGGGCTTTAACATAAATTCTAAGGCAAGTTCTTAGAGGAGGAGTTTCCCTCCATGGCAGTGAACAGCTCACCAGTGCAAGCAATCCTGGACCAAGTGGTCCAGCTGGCACGACTTCAATCCAGGCCATTGATAGCCTGACCCCCCATGACCTCACTAATTACATTTCAAGTTCCAGCTTGGCTTCTCCTCCAGAATATAATTATTTTAGGGTACCACAATTGAAGCAACCTTCTTTATGCCTATGAATATATTTTCCTATACAGTCTAATTCCACTCAAATGTAAACTTCATTACATCAAAAAGCTGGAACAAAGGGAAGGGAAGAATGACAAAGCAGGCTCCTGATTCGATGGTATTTTAGGTTACCAAGGGCGACATAATAAAACTCCGACCCAATTTCCACACAATTGATTTGTCCAGCCTACAACTACTTCACCTGGCAGTTACTAATTACATCACAGGTGCTGTGTGGTCATCACGTCACCAGTAAGGCCTACCAGGCAGTGTTCACTTTTCCAGACTGCTTTTCCCAAGAATGGAGGGACTGGAGACCACCTACACTACCAAGAGTCCCTCTCCTCCCCAAGCCTCAGATCTGCTCTAGCATTTTTGTTGGTGTCATATCTCAGTGGACCAGGCTCTGATTATCTGACTTAGAGTGGGCAGGGAAGGGAGTAAGAGTTTGGGTCCAGGAGTCTGTATCAGTACTCCAGCTGCAGGGCATAGTCACCTATGTGTCTCATGAGAATTCTCCCAAAAGTTTTTTTTTTTCTTGTACCTCTAAGAGTTTCCATGTCCCGAATCTCTTGTGACTTCCAGAACCCTGGAAGAACTTCACCAGACTCAGTTTCTGATCCCTTACAATTCCAACACCCAGAGACTCACTCCCTATTTCCAGCCTCCCAGATCTCTGGGAAACAGCGGTGGACGGTGACACATCACCTCTCTCTCTCTCTCTCTCTCTCTCTCTCTCACACACACACACACACACACACACGCACGCACGCACACACTCAAGAACAAGCGTGCACACCCTGGGTATCGTGACCCTGTGTCCCCCCTAGCTCCAGGCTGACTTACTTGAGGAAGTACCTCTGGCCAGTGGCCGTGAAGGTCATCTCCCAGCCTGGGGGCAGCGGCAGCTCGTCGGTCACGTCGTAGGACTGCTGTCGGAGGTGCGCGTGCTGCTGCGCCGGGCTGCCCGCAGCGCCCGCGCCGGTGCCCAGCTGCAGAGACGCGGGCGACGAGTGCGAGCGGACGTGCTGGGCGCCGCCGGCCAGTCGGGGCCCAGGGTGACCACCGGACGAGTCGGTGCTCGACTGGCGCGAGTGCGAGCCGGAGTCAGGCTCCTTGAAGAACGACTCGGGCAAGATCTTCTTCCGCCACGAGCTGGGCTTGGGGTTCATCACCGAGTTGAAGAGGGCTTCGAGGTCCGTGTCTAGATCTTGAGTGACGTGGATCACTTGCTGCCCGGGTGGCGGGAGCGGAGGGGGCGCCGAGGCCGGATTCATCTTCTGCAAGGAGAAAGGAGGTCAGATTAGCCTTTTATTGAGGGTCGGAGAGGGGGATACGGGGGGAAGAATAGAAAGAAAAAGCAAAAGAGACAGATAGATGTCTGCCTCGGGATCCCAGACACCCAGCAGTTAAGACCAGCCGGATGGGGGGAGGGGTCCCTCCTGGCCTCGAGAATTATGCAACTTTCTTGAAGCCAAGAAGTTACCAGGAAAGGGGGGATGGGGTGGCTGCTGGGAGTTAACTGCACTGGAGACGCTGCTGAACTGCTGGTGGCAAAGGACAGGTCGAAACTTTCCAGGGCAGTCAGCCCCCCAAAGTCTCAACCGGAGCCAGCTCCAAGACATCTCAACTCCGGAAGCCCGAGGAGCCGGGCGCCCTGGAGTGGTGCCGGGTGAGCGGGCACGCGCCAGAGGGCACACTACCTGGGCGCGCAGCGAAGCCGAGTCTGGGCGTGCGGCGGCCGCCGTCCCGCCCGAACTCGCTGTCGGGCCTGGGTCGCTAGGGTGCGTCCCGAGCTTGCAGGGCTGGAGCCGGGGCCCGGCTGGCAAATCCTGACCAGGCTCGGTGCCTGGCAGCCGAGGGCCTTCTGCTCTCACATCCCCCGAACTGGCCTCAGGCGCTCGCGCTCCGCGAGGAGGCTGAGGAGAAGCAGACAGCGCGGCCGCCGCGGCTCCCGGACTGTCCCATAAACAAAGTTTGGAGCAAACTCCCACTCCCAGGAAAGAGGCGGGGCCGAAAGTTGAGCTGTTGAATTATGCATGACCTCCAAGTCCCCAGCCTGCCTGCCCCCGCTCGTCTCTCCCCTTTCTCTTCCTCCTCCTCCCACCCCCGGCTCCAGAAAACCCTGGGCGTGCTGGGTACTTTGCAGGGTAAGAGGAGACGGGTGCCCTCCACCCACTCCTCCTGGTCGCGCGGACCTCTCCCGCGGAGCCCTGGATCTGCATTCCTTTGAGTTTACCACGGACTTGGGGCGGGATCAAAGGGAAAGTGGCCCAAGCCTGTTTAATCAAGGACTTGTGGACCGAAACCAAGGCTGGGGGCGGCGGAGGGCACGCGGGTGAGGGGCCCAGACCGAGTAAGGGCCGGTCCTGGGCGCCGCGCCCTCCCTTAGTGCCTGGTGCCGAGGCCGGGAGCGCCGGAGCGCTGCACTGATCCGTGATTCTGCCTGAGGGCGGCCCGCGTGCGCTCCGGCGCGGGGAGACACCAGCGAGGCCAGCCTTTCCACGGGAGGCTACTTAACGCTTGTGACCATATTTGGTCTGGCGAGGAGGCATCTCGGCTGTTTGGCTTTCAATTGTCTGCTCGTGCGCAGACGGTGCCCAGAAAGTGCCTCTGTCGCTAGGGATGCGGCTTCGCCAGCTGGTTCATTGTAAACAACCTTCAAACCATTTATCAATCCTTGTTTTCCTCTCCAGTGTGACTCAAGTCACTAGGGGTTGAGAAGAAACCTGGTCAAAGCTTGGGCGCTGGAAAGGGACAGCGATCGTGCCCCCCTCTCCCGAGACATCCGCGCGGGTAGTGGGAGGATTGGAATGTCCCTGACGCCCTCCAGAGAGCCTGGAGCCGGGATGGAACCGGAACAGGTGGCTGGGAGCAGAAAGGGTGCGCCAGTGACCCGGAAAAAACCACCCACCCTCCCACCGACTGGATCTAGGCGAGGGGTGGAGACCCCCTGCTAGATCTAGACTGGCAAGACAGCTGCGGGAAGTAGGAGGCGGCCTGGTCCTCCGGAGCAGCTCAATTCCTTCTTTCCTTGTCCCTTCTCCACTGGGGGGAAGGGGAGAGTGGCTGCGAGGTAAGTCAGGCTTCAGAAAGTCCCTACCCGACCCCATTTGATTCAAACATAAGTTTATGAAATAAGTCATATGAGGCGATATATGTAAAGCACTTTGAAGACATACCTGCCTACATACCTCTTTGTTAAATAAAATAGAATTGTATCAAGTGCAAGTATTGTGCCTTCACAGTTTTATAAGGGTGGAACAAAGTCAAAATTAAAATCTGGAGTCGCTTTGAAGGAGGAAAGTTTATGGGAAAGACAAGGCCACCCCATAGCTTTTTTTTATTTTTATTTTTTAAATTTTATTTATTTATTTATTTATTTGTGGTACGCGGGCCTCTCACTGTTGTGGCCTCTCCCATTGCGGAGCACAGGCTCCAGACGCGCAGGCTTAGCGGCCATGGCTCACGGGCCCAGTCGCTCCGTGGCATGTGAGATCCTCCAGGACCAGGGCACAAACCCGTGTCCCCTGTATCCGCAGGCGGACTCTCAACCACTGCGCCACCAGGGAAGCCCCACACCCCATAGTTTTGCTTTGGAAAAGGTAAGAGTATTTGGGGCACATTCCCTGAATGGCTTCTCCCTGTCAGTGCCCAAAATAGAGCAGAGGCCACCTAAGTGAGCCCGCCCCCCCATTGTCTGTGTTTGAGGGTGTGCTGATTCCAAACTCCCCACAGATGGGAAAATCAAGACTGCCTGAGAGAGAAAGACAGTCATGTGGATCACTGTCAAAGGTGAGCAGAGCATGGCTCCTTCAGGAGACTCTGGAACTATTTCCCATCAGCAGGTCCTCTGCCCATAGGACCAGCAGAGGGAAGGGGAAGCTGCTACAGGTCACTCCATGGGAAATAGCATCTTTACAAGCTATCGTCAGAAGCCACCACAGTTGCAACAATGGGAAAATTAGCTCTGGAACTAGAGGAAGTGACTGGGACCGAAAGGTTACTAATTCAGAAGCCACTTGATGAACAGATGCAACCTTGAGGCCAGCCCAACTCCAGGAAGGTCCTCACCCAGGAAGGAAGGTCTTGCTTTGTAAAGAGTTCCTGGCTGCTGCACAGAGGAAGATGCTGAGGGAGCCATGAGATTAATCAGTTAGGGAGAAGCAGGATTGAGGTTTGGGTGGGCATTCCTTGCCAAACTTCAAGACATAGATAGTGGAGGACAAAGTAGATGCCTGAAATGGAAATTGCTCTGATCACGTGATAGCTCAAAGGGAAAACTCCCAGTTCCCAAACAGTCTATAAGATATGGTAGTGGATGGCCAAAGAGATTTGCTTCAGTGCCTCAAACAATAGTTTCAGATTAAATAACATTTACAGGTGCCTTGTGTATATCAGGTACTGCCCATAAGAGGCAGTATGGTGTAACAGGTAAGTGTATAATGAATCTCTGGAGGAAAATACCTGAGGCAAGATACTGAAACTCTCTATTCCTGAGTTTTCTCCTTTGTAAATTAGAAACAATAACAGTACCCACCTCACAGGATTTTAGATTAAAACAAATTACAGTCGGCCCTTTGTATCCTTGGGTTCCACATCCACTGTGGATTAAAAAAAAAAAAAAAATCCAGAAAGTTCCAAAAAGCAAAACTTGAATTTGTGGCACACTGACAACTATTTACATAGCATTTAATTGTATTAGCTATTATAAGAAACGTAGAGCTGATTTAAAGTATATGGGAGGATGTGTGTAGGTTATATTTAAATACTACGCCATTTTATATAAGGGACTTGACCATCCTCAGATTTTGGTTGGGGGGGCGGGGTGTCCTAGAACCAACCCCCTGCTGATACTGAGGAACGACTATATACAAATTTTATCTGTTCCCACTGATTTAGAACACAAGCTTTGAAATGCCTAGCTCTACTCTCTACATTGGGCAAGTAACTTAACCTCCCTTAAATCATAGATTATTCATTTACAAATTGGAGATAATAGTGTGGTAGTCTGTGACACTGCAGGCCTTCTTTTGGTCACACCCTTATGGACTCCCTCCCACTTAAATCTGGACTGGGCCAGTGACTTGCCTTCGCCTGGAAAATGCAGCCCTGCATCTGTGTTTGTTCCCTCTTTTAACCCCAAGGAAGGTGTGGAAGTTTCTGCTTCTGTAATTTTGGGAGACCTGAGCCACTAGGGAAGAAGTGCAACTACTTTGCTGGGGAAACCACGTGCAGAGGAAAATGCCCTGAGATAGGTGGAGACGGGGAGAACTCCAGCCATCCAGCACCGGAGCTGAGCCCAGCCCCCAGCCAGCCCAACAGCTGACTGCAAGGGCATCAGTGACCAGCATCAAGACCAGTAGAACCAGAGCCCAGCCCAGCCCAGCCCAGATTGTAGAACAAATAAAATGAATAGTGTTTTAAGCTACTAAATTTTTGAATTCTTTTTTTAAATGCAGAATGGGCATTCTAAAGATTAAATAAGAAATTACAAATAAAGTTCTTAACACAAATTCTGTTACATGCTAAAGTACTTAATAAATAATGGCTGTGATTTGGGCTGAGACCCATCAAATGGATAATAGACAAATATTTTACAGGTAAGGAGACTGGCCCAGTGAGTTTTAAAGTACAGGAAGATCTCACTTTGTAGCACTTCACAGATACTGCGGGTTTTTTTACAAATTGAAGGTCTGTGGCAACCCTGCATCACGCAACACTACCGGCTCCATTTTCCCAACAGCATTTGCTCAGATCGTGTCTCCATCATAGTTTGGTAATTCTCACAATATTTCAGACTTTTTTCTTATTGTATTTGCTAAAGGTGATCTGTGATTAGGGATCTTTGATGTTACTATTGCAAAAAGTTTACAACTCACTGAAGGCTCAGGTGATGGTTAGCATTCTTTAGCAATAAAGTATTTTTTAATTAAGGTATATACATTGTCTTTTTTTTTAAACATAATGCGATTGCACATTTAACAAACTACAGTACAGTGTAAACGTAACTTTTATATGCACGGGGAAACCAAAAAGATTCGAGCGACTGGAACTAAACTGGCAATATCTCCGAGGTATGCCTGTATTTTGTCCAAATACGTGAAATGAATTCTTGGGGGGGAAAAAAATGCTGGGACATAGCCCAGGGTTTGTAATCCTAGATCGGAGTGCTTTTTTCTACTCTCCCCTCCTTTGAGCCAGGAGTTGCTCTCTGGTTTTGTCATTTTTAATCAGTGAGATACCTACTGCCTACCTATCTCACAGAGAAGAAACTCCACAATTTTTATAAGATAATCAATTGAGAGTACACTCCTGCCGATATGTAAATCTTTCTACTTGCAAAGACTTTCTCTCCTCCCTCTCTGTCCATATCCAATCAACGGCAAGGACTGTCAATTCTTCCTTCTGATGTCCCTCAAGCCCATCCTTCCTTTCCCACTCCCACAACAGGACCTTATCTTCAAAGCCTTGCAGTGGCCTCCTAATTGGTTTCTCTCCCTCCAGCCCCTCATTTCTGGCCTCCCATTTTCATGTCATTCCCTGGCTCACAAGCTTTGAACAACTACCCACAAGAATAAAAGTCAGAGCTATCAATCCAGCACCCAAGGACTCCCAACACACTGCCATCTTCACAGCATTCTGACCTTAATTTTTACACAGATGTGTCCCTCATCCTCTCCAGCTAGGCTCTGACCCAAGCACATTTGGCCTAATCCTTCACTACACCTATCTCTTTGTTTGAACCCTGCTCAAAACTGCCCTCCATACTCCATTGTCAAACCTTCATCCATCCCTCCTTTCCCTTAAATTCAGGTTGTTCTTGTCTTTTTCAGTCCCTTGACACATAATCACACGTAACACTGCTTTATATTCTATTTCAACTTTTACCTCAGTATCTCTTGCCTCGCCAACTGGTTTGTAGATAGCTGCAGGGCTAGACACATCTTGCATTTCCTTATGGAACTGCTTCCCTGAAGGCCA